AGTATTAAATTCTCTCAGCTGAACTACCTGGCATGGGCCCTGTTTCCCTAACTTGACTCTGACCCGTGCAGATGGCCACTTATTCAGTACAAACCACAGACTTATGGCAACCTTCTAGTGGAAATTTTGTGTTCCTTTATTTTAGCAAGAGAAAGATGTGCTTCCTTTGGAACAGATTAACAAAGAAAGATTTGGAGAGAGCTAAGATTCAACTTAACCCCCTTTGTAAAGACAGACAATATTTTATTTGGAAACATTATTATTAAGCAGTATCTATAAAATCATTGACTTTGGGAAGCTCAATGAAAGCTATTAGAAGGTTCATGAACAAAGAAGATGAGTCTCATTTTTTTTTTTCATGTTTGTGGAACTAGCTGTGATTGGGACATGAAAGGCTTCCCAGACAATCGGTGTCAGCTCTTTCTATAGAAATTTGGAATGCATTAATTTGTGTTTTGAATTGACTAGCTTCTGATCCTATACATTCTTATATAACTAACGTTCTTGGTATGAATCTGTTTTCTGATTTTGCCGCCTTATTTATTCATTTCTATACTTATTGTTATTTCCTTCTTTGTAAGAGACACTGGTAATGAGTCAGGTGGCAGAGTGGAAGGATGAGAAGAATGGATCCTGGGAATGCCACCAACAGCTGAACTGAACTATTCATGGGTCTTCCCTTGGTGTAGACTTGGGTTTTTATGGGTCTGATTTGGTTAGAGGGTCAGGCCTTTATGGCCTGAATGAAAGACAGATGAGTTATGATAAAGTATAACTCAGTGAGAGCAGAAGAAAAGAATCATAGCTTCATCCACAGAAATGGTAAAAAAAAAAAATATATGAGTACATTTCTATGAACTTAAAGAATCTAATTGCTGGATTGTGGAAAACACTTAATATGGCATTTATCATGGTTACAGTATAAAGCCAAGTTAATTTTCAAGGTCTCATTCTGGTTTCATTTTTTAAAATTGTTTGTACTATCATTGGAAAAAAAATCAAAAAACAACTGACCAATTACTGTCATACCTTTATAGCTAGTTAATTATGGCTTCTCTGAATGGAGCCAAATTAAATGAGCCATCCCATGGGAACTATAGTTCCTGGTTAGGTTAGAAGAATTCATCTAATTTAACAGGACTTGTTTTTGTTTTGGTTTGGTTTTTCTGTTTATTTTTGTAGCCAGTTTATCTTGAGCTGGCATTTGTAAAAGATGGGGTGGGTCCCTTAGAGAATCTTTCTTTACCCATATTTAAGGGGAAGCTAGGATTCCCTTCACTAGGGTTGACAGATGTTCTACCCAAGGTAGTATTTTTTTAAAGCTTCTTCTGGTTTGCTTTGCTTTATCGTTTGTGTATTTTGCATGCAGACTTGAAATATCAAAAGACTACCAACATCCTAGCCCACTGTTTGCCCAGGACAGGAAATGACCGGATCATGCTAGTGATTAGTTAGAAAAGATGTCACTGCTATAGGGAGAGAGTTCTCCAGGGTTCTTTCATGTTTCTGCTTGTTGTGAGAGAGGTACCTACTACCCTTTTGTTCAGAATATCTCTTTTCAAGGAAGTTGTAAAGCAGATCTGTTTATTATCCAGTATAATAAAGACAATATCCCCCTTCAGGACAATATGAAGGATTGCTTACAGCTCCTTATTAAAGATCTGGGATCCCTAAGCTCACAGTCCTCAGCTGTAGTTCAGACCCACTGCACTTGTAGCACCTAGCTTAGTTCCTATGCTTCATCCTATAGATTTTGGGGAGCAGGGGAACTGACATCATCATCATGTCCATACTTTTTTTCTGCCTGGGCTCCATGTCACACAACACTTTATCTCTGATCCAGGAGTCTTGTGTCTTCTGCAGCATCCACAAGACTGTGGCATACTAACTCATGTGTGAGCTCACAAGCAGGGTGAAGTCTCAGACCCCCTCCATTCTTGCCAGTTACTCTAGTGCTACAGAAGAACCTCCTTTCATAAAAATTGGCAGAGAAAGTGCTGAAAGCCACTGATGTGACATATATATTTAATATACAGAGTTGATCATTTGTATTTTAGTTTTATCAGCCCATGTGAAATACTGGAATTTTCCAAATATCTATAACTTTTTATACTATTATATATAAACATCCGTTCCCCTCAATAAAATGGATTTTGGCTTTTATCTGGCTGGATTTTATCTGCTATTAAAACAGTCTGTGATTTGTTAGCTGAACATCCACCAGTAGTTTTTTGCAAGCTAAGAAAAAATATAAATACTGTCTATTTATCTGTATATGAAATACCTTCTCAATAGTCCAGCCAACTCAGCTCTTTGGGAGGACTTACTTTGTGTTACAAGTGGAATTTTTTTCATGTCTGCAGAAAGCAGTTGCAGCTAGCTCAATGTATTTCATAAGGGTCAGTCATGTCCTCCCCACTTTTTGTTTTGGCAGTCAGGAATTGCTTTAAATATTTTTCTTAACATCCTTGAACTAGCCTTTAAAGGATTTGTAAAATTTCAAAAGTTTGTGTGAAGACGGTAGCATTCCCTATTAAAAAAAGAAATGGAACCAATCAGTACAAGTTCCATGCTGCTCCTGAGAAAGATCAGGGCTCATAGGCATGACTCCATGGACACACCTAGACAGGCATTCATCAGAAGCACTGGCCACCCTATCTATTACAGCGAGTCTGTTGTCACACCCTCATCTGTGAGCCTGAGGACTACAGGCAGGATGACTTGTCTGCCACTTGCTCCAGGTAGGATAGGCTCTGGCTAACTGACAGGTATACCATCTGTGGTTGGTAAGACACTTGCAAATAAGAACAGCCTGGGCTCCAAACAGCCGGCTTTGGGACACTTCCCTGGACAGTGGCACACTTCAGATATTTGAAGAGTAACACCTGTTACCTGAGACACGGTATCTTTTTCAGGTGCGGTAAGTGAGGCATGTTACAGCTGTTGTCTTCTGAGAGAATAAACAGTTTACTCCCTTTACCACTAACGTCAGTATAATTTGATGGTCCTCAAATGTGTGGTTCCCAGAGCAGTAGTAAAAGCATCACCTGCCAACATGGTAGAAATGCAAATCATGGGCAGTACTTCAGAACTCCTGAATTAGGAAACTATGGTGTGGGGTCCAACAACATCTAACTTAATACCACCTCCCAACCACCAGGAGATTCTGCACACTGCTGTTGAGAGCCACAGATGTTACTCACTGTATCTCAGGTCAGAGAACCAGCTTAGTCTCCTTACAAGCAGGGGAAGAACAAAATGAAGGGTTATGCTGTCAGGTGTATAAAGGGATGATGATAGAATTTGTTGAAAAACCTACCGATTTTTCATGTAAGAAAAAACTAATGCCTATCCTCTTTGGGGCACTATAAAGACACAAATATGAATAACGTATTCTACACAGTACCTCAGAGCCTCTATCGGAGGTGGACCTCAGGGGTGGACCATTAATGATGGCCCAGAGACAAAACCGACTTTCCTAATGTTTTTATAAATAAAGTTGCATTAGAACACAGTCATATGTATCCATCTACCTATTGTTTGTGACTGCTCTTAGGCTACGATGCAGATTGAGAAGCGCAACAAGGACCCCTTCCCCCCAAAGTCCCACAAAGCCAAAAACATTTAATCTATGGAGCTGTAATGAAAGGCCGAGTTCAGTGTTTAAAGGGGAAGGACTGGGGACACCTGGGTGACTCAGCAGTTTAGCGTCTGCCTTTGGCCCAGGGTGTGATCCCGGGGTCCTGGGATTGAGTCCCACATCCAGCTCCCTGCATGGAACCTGCTTCTCCCTCTGCCTGTGTCTCTGCCTCTCTCTCTCTCTCTCTGTGTGTGTGTGCATGTGTGTCTCTCATGAATAAATAAATAAAATATTAAAAAATAATAATAAAGGGGAAGTACCTTCCACATTCCAAGGTGTTAAACTGGAACGAAGTTGAGGAGGAAGTGTGGTGTGCAGGCCTTCTTCTGCTGTCCAGTGGTATAGTTACACTGAATTTTTGCCATGGCTGAGAACTTCGCTTCAAGGATGTGGTTATCGTGGAAGATGTAAAGACTGTCAGGCAAGAGGCAGAGCGATTACTGTGCCAAACACCCTGGTGTATGAAGGGTAAAGGGGTGTGGGAACAAATAGAGAATGGACAAAAGGAAGACATGAGGAAAAATAAAAAGAGGATTTGGATCGAGAAGGGAGAACGTAAGCCATCAAAAGAGTGTGACCCATGTGAAAAGCAAACATAAAGGCGTGTGGGCCCAGGACAAGGCTGGTGAAGCCAATTAAGGAGAGAAGCACAGGTTTAGAACATTCCCAGCTGCTTAGCATGGGGGATGGGGCCCAGGTCTCCCAGGGAATTCTGGGACGTTGCACAGAGGCAGAGAAAGGTGCGGGAAGCGTCAGGGCTTGCACTCTGCTCCTCTGTCGGTCTGCGGGCTCGCGTGTGCTTGTTCATAGGTGTGCCCCCGCGATTCCTCACTCCGCGTCACCTCCTTGCCGCCGACTGGCCAACCGTGTAGCCGCGCTGTAGCCGAAGCACTGGGTTTCCCCCTTTGAAAGTCTGGTTACTTCCTGCCTTCGCCTCTGTGTGACTTTGGGCAAATCATTCCATGGCTCAGTGTCTCCCTCTCCTCATTTGCGAGATCCTGTTTCAGGCCTCCTCCTGCATCCTCATTGTGTTCTCCTCCCAGACCCCCTGATCGTGGAAGGGCATTGCTAAGAATGCTTAGCAGCTCCAGAGCCAAGCCGAGGGCCCAGCTGCAGGGCCACGAGGGCAAAAGAAGATGAGCGGAGACACTCAGGCCCTCCTGAAAAGGGGATTGCTCATTAGTTTGGCACAAGGGCATTAGTCACCCTCCAGGGGTTTGATTTGGATTTTCTTCTAACACAGACTTAATAATAGATTTCGTCTCTTGCCAGTAAGATTGTTCACCGTGACAATGCTTAGGGGGACATGGCCAGCTGAGTTCCATGCCTGGCATTTCTCACATATTTCTCATTCTTTCAGGAGTTTTTCTTCAAATGTGGAGCACACCCGACCTCTGACAAGGAAACGTCCGTAGCTTTGAACCTGATCACAACGAACAGTAGAGACATCACCTGCATAACGTGCACCGACATCAGGTAAGGATCTGAAGGACTCTCCACGTGTTGCTCTCCCAGTGGTAGACTCTCCCGTGAGCCTCCTCGGTGGGTGCTCTTTCTGGAGGAGCGTTTGCTTTGCTTCGACTCCGTTTGCACAATATGGGTGTATGTCAGTATGATCAAACTCTCTGAAGTGTCAAATCCTTAGTGTGGTACTGGTCAAAGCTTCAATGACGTTTGCCCAATGTAGGTATATTTCAAAATAATCAAACTTTTTATTATTTTTTTAGAATTTTTATTTATTTATCTATGAGAGACAGAGAGAGGCAGAGACACAGACAGAGGGAGAAGCAGGCTCCCTCTGGGGAGCCTGATGCAGGACTCAATCCCAGGACCCCGGGATCATGCCCTGAACCAAAGGCAGACACTCAACTAGTGAGCCACCCAGATGTCCCTATTATCAAACCTTTTAAAGTGCCAAATTCTTCATGTGGTCAGTGGTCAAATAGTATGCTAAGGGAATCCCTGAGTGGCTCAGCAGTTTGGTGCCTGCCTTTGGCCCAGGGCGTGATCCTGGAGTCCCCGGATCGAGTCCCGGATCGGGATCCCTGTGTGGACCTGCTTCTCCCTCTGCCTGTGTCTCTGCCCTCTCTCTCTCTCTCTCTCTGTGTGTGTGTGTGTGTGTGTGTGTGTGTCTCTTTCATGAATAAATAAATAAATAAAATCTTTTTTAAAAAATAGTATGCTAAGATATAAGTGGCATGACTTATGTCTAAAAGTGTAATCTAAAAAAACACAAACCCATGTACTGACATTGGTGAGTTCTAAAGTAAATTAAAACATGCTGCTAGCGGGCAGCCCGGGTGGCTCAGCGGTTTGGCGCCTGCCTTCAGCCCAGGGCGTGATCCTGGTGTCCCGGGATCGAGTCCCATGTCGGGCTCCCTGCATGGAGCCTGCTTCTCCCTCTGCCTGTGTCTCTGCCTCTCTCTGTGTGTGTGTCTCTCATGAGTAAATAAATTAAATCTTAAAAAAAAAAAAAAGCTGCTACTGTTAGGAATGCCATAACAGTTTACAAGTACCATTTATTCTTGGAATATATGATCCATAACATTTTATTTTAAGCAACCTCTCCACCCAGGTGGGGCTCGAGCTCACAACCCCAAGATCAAGGGTCACATGCTCTACTAACAGAGCCAGGGAGGCGCCCCAACATTTTACCTTTAAAATATCGTTTCCATACACTTCAGTTCTTTTATTTTTTTATTTATTTTTATTTTTATTTTATTTATTTATGATAGTCACAGAGAGAGAGAGAGAGGCAGAGACACAGGCAGAGGGAGAAGCAGGCTTCATGCAGGGAGCCCGATGTGGGACTCGATCCCGGGACTCCAGGTTCAGGCCCCGGGCTGAAGGCGGCACTAAACCACTGAGCCACCTGGGCTGCCCTCAAGAAGAATTTTTAGTGAAATGCCAAAATGAATTGATGAATAAAGTCAAAAAATCCTGCTTGTTCCAGACTTTAAAGCAAAGACAGATAAATACCCTTAGCATTTCAGCGTTGTCTCTCTTTGGTCTTGGGACAAACTGGGTTAGGTGGCCTTTGAAAGTTCCCTTAAGCTCTGTGATGTTGTGGCTGGTGGGTATTAATCCCCCTAACCTAATACTTCCATCCTTTAATACATTTAAATAAAAGTGTTGACTAATAGAAGCCTAAAATCCTTAATAGCATCTGCTAGACAAACTTGTTTCCAAGAAGGGGTCAAAATGAGACTTTTATTTTCCTGTTGCATCTTTAGTTCTAGCTGTGATAGAGAACACCACAATATTGCCTAAAACAACCTATCTGCATCCTTCAGTAAGATGAATGATTGCAAAGGGCTAATGTTTTCAACATGCAACAAGAGCTGATTCTTCTGGTATTTCAGGAAAGGAGCAAGGGGAGTCCTAAACACGAGAGCTCAACTGCTCTCTGCAAGCACTGAGAAATTAAACTCACGTCTCAGTGTTTCATAGGAGAAATGAGTTTTTCTCTACATCAGAATGCAGCCCGCCAGCCAACAGTGAAAAGCCTTCCATTAGAGTTGGTAAAGATGGCATTAAGATATGTAGTATTGATCATACTATCTTACTAAGAGCACTGCTCTCCCTGCTTCCCACTGCTAAGCTGTCGCCTTCATATTAGCAACTCACAACATCCATCCAGGGAAACAAGCCACTTCCCAGATGCACAGGGAGATAATTGCTGGAAAAATAATATTGTCTGTTGCAATAAAAAAATTTTCATTATTATTTTAAGGGGATTTTATAAATAGAAGCTACTATATTCAGTTAGATTTAAGTGTGTGTATCACCAGCCACTTGACTGAATGAGGTCCTTTCTTATGTAAGGCACCAGCGGGATGCCCTGTACTAGAATAGAGGAAGGGGCCCTCTCTTCTTATACTGAAGGATTCAGGCATAGAGATGTCATAAAAGCCTGCATGCACGTGGAAACACCAATACTTTATGTTGTACTTTGCTGATTGTCATGGTTCTTTTTTTTTTTTCCCACTCCTGCTAATGCTTTCTTTTCAAATTTAGAAGTGATTCACTCACAGAAATCTAAACAATGTTAGAATTTTTTTTTTTTTACCCTCATGGTTAGTAAGATTTTGGGTTAATTCTTTCCAGCATCTTGAGTATGCCTAAATATTTGCATGGATATGTGAGGGGTGTGTGTGCTAAATATAATCATGCTGTATACATTGTTTTGTATCTGGCCTTTTCCACTGAGCATCGCATCATGATAAATTTCCCCTGCTCTGAAATATGCTATGGAAACAAGTTTTGTTTTGTTTTTAAATAGGTACCAAAGATTTCATCATTTGGGAATACTCTAATCATTTCCCTATTTCTAGTGATTTGAATTACTTCTAATTGAAAATAATAAATTAAGTAACACTTCAATCCTTTGTTGGTAAGGATCCAAGATCCCTTACCAAAAATCATCAACTGCATGTTTTGAATCCAAGGATAGTATCACAGAAATGGTAACAGAAGGTCAGTATTAATGGACGTGTTTAAGGTTCTTGATATATATTGTCAAGTTTATTTCCATTCTAAATTATGATGGCCTATCTTTGAGAGGACTCCCTGCTACATCTTTTCCAGTATAATGTTCATAGTTTTAGTTTTTGCCCATTTGCTAAAGGACATTAATTTTGTCATTAATACTTTTTAAATGTTATTGGCAAGGGACATTTCTCACTTATTTGCATTTTCTTTTTCTTTTCTTTTTTTGCTTATTTGCATTTTCTATTGTTAGAGAAAAATGCAAAACTTTCTGTATGAAAGCTTTAGGAAGAATCTAAAAAAAAAAAAAAAGATTGCCTCTGCAATTACCTTCTCATTCACTTACACATAATATCAGCATATCCTTTTTTAATATAAAGTTTTCTGATCTGTGAATTTATGTTTCAATGTAGTTATTTGGTTTTGGTTTTGAAATATTGCATCTTCCTGGAGATAAATCAAGTTATTTAGTTACAGAAGTGAAAATAAAAATTGGAGTATCTATTTATATTTTATGTTTGTTTTATTTATTTTTGTATATACCCTAATCATACATCCTTAGTCAAATTAGGCATAATTAACTGCATAATAAATTTAAAACCAGAGGATTAATTTCAATTCCACTTGTTGGTTATTGGCATATGGGAAAGTGATTGACTTTTGCATATCAACTTGGTATGCTGCGACCTTGCTATAACTGCTTATTATTTCAGGAATTACTTAGTGGATTCTTTCAGGTTTTCTGCAAAAATTATTACATCATCTGTGAACACACGCAGCTTCAAGTCTTCCTTCCCCATTTGTATCCCTTTATTTCTTTGTCTTGCTTGTTAGCATTAGCAAGAACATCTCGTGTGATGTTGAAAAGAAGTTGTGAGAAAGAACCCACTTGTCTTGTACTTCATCTTAGTGGGAAAGCTCCAAGTTTCTTTCCTCTCTTTCTGACAGTTTTTATCATGAATGAGTGTTTGATTTTGTCAAATACTTTTTCTGTGTCTACTGATATTATCATGTGATTTTTCTCTTTTAGTCTGGTATTCAGCCTGTTTTAATCTATGATGGGTTATATTAATTTATTTTTGAGTGTTGAATCAGCTCCGCATACATGAATTCAATCCCTCTAGACTATTGTATATAATTATTTTTAAGCTTTTCTGTATTTGATTCACAAATACTTTATTGAGGATATTTATATCTATACTCACGAGAGTATGGGTCTGTAGTTTTCTGGAATTATCTTTGTCCAGTTTAGCATTAAGGTAATTTTGGCCTCATAGAACCTGAGTTTAGGAAGTATTCATTCTGTTTCTATCGTCTGAAAGAGATTGTAGAGAATTAGTAGCAAGGTAGAAATTTTACTTATTGTTGTGATTTACGCATATATAATTTTGTATACAAAGAGATTGACATCTCTTTCATCTACTTTCTTAACAATAATTCTTTATAAGTATATAATAACCTATATTCAAGGGGCTCCAGAAGCACAAGCTAACTTTTTGACCTTAGGAAAATAACATAATCTCTTAGGCCTTCAGGTTGCTTATAAAGTCTGAGAATTGCAATAGGTCATCTATAAGGCTCTTGCTGGTTTTAAAAGCTTGCAAAAGGTAGGAACACTGTTTGTTCAAAGCTTATAAATCAATCGTGTCACTTGAGAAAACACTTATTTGTGGTCCTATCTGCTGACAAATGCAGAAATAAAAGATGAGGTTATCAGTGACACTCCTTTTCAGAGCCAAATATTTGATTGTAAGACGTAAAAGTATATGTGTCTAACATAGATGTGTTATTCATTTCCAGATGTTAGGCTTAAAATGTAATTCAGGTGCTTGGTTTGTGCCCTTTGAGTTTACATTGTATATAAGATATTTTCCTCTCTCTTAAAGAAAAAAAGTGAGCTATTTGAGAGCCAAAACACCCTGAGGTGTTTACATGAACCAGCAGATTTCCAGCTGCCATCCAGCCATGCTGGCCCCTCTACTTACCTA